GTTTATGAGCAGCTGTACACTGCTGCCATTTGGTGAGCACATCAGGGGGCTGTGTTTCTCTGGGAGGCCCTGAGAGAGTTTCAAACAAGGCTGGCTGAGAGACTCTCTCTTGGGGCCTCCCTACAAAGGGCCTCTGCATTGTCCCTTGTGCCTTTCCTCCCACGCCTTCCCTTCTCCCCACCCCACACAGACCAAATAAAAAAAGACTTTCTGGTTTGAGCACGAAACTCTCTGATTTTTCTTGGGGAATATATAACTAGGGAGGGACTGGAGAAAGAACCTGGGAGATGGGAAGAGGTGCAAGGAGGGGCTCAGTGACAGGGCTGGGACTGGTGCCTGCCTCAGGAGTCTCTGGATGACTCAGATGCCCAAGAGGTCCCACCGCCACATGTGTGTGGCCTTTGGTGGCCTCTGAAGGGGGCTAGGAAAAGAAACCAGGGAGGCGGGTGCAGATGCAAGGAGCTGGGGGGGAGTTGGTAATGAGAGGTAGCTGCTGGACCACTTAATGGTGGCAATCAGGCACTCCACGGAGGCATGTGGAGCACATGGTCTTGTGCTGCCAGGACAGCTGCTCCCAGATGGTCTGCCTCAGCTCCCAGATATCACGGTGCACCTCGAGATCGGCGATCCACCTTTGGTGCTCCTGCTCAAAACTTCTGTTTAGGGCATGCAGGCAGTCCAGATGTTCCTGCAGCAGGTCCTCATGGGGTTGCTTGCGCCTACAGCTCTTGCAGAGCAGGAGGATGGCACAGGAGGCGTCAGAGGCACCAAACTTGCAGCTGGGTCAGCTGTGAAGATAAGTGAAAAGAGCAGTCATCCCAGGACACACTGTGCATGAAGCCTAGCCCGAAATCCGTGAGCCAACATTGAAGGTCTCAGTTCAGATGATGGTGATGTGCTTCAAGGAAGACCAGCAGGCACTTTCCTGCAGGGGCACGGATATCCCAGAGGAGCCTTGCCTTAAGCAGGCATGAGAGCATACCAGCCAGGCCAGGAGCCTGCAGGTGGGGGAGGTGGCTGGGGTGGCTCAGCTTCCCTTTATGCTACACACATTAGATCTGGCAGTGTCAGTGTCCCACAGAGAGTGGACTTCTATCCCTGCCCGCTGGAGGAGGGGGGGGGGGAAGGTGTTGAAGGAGGTAAGAGCAGCAGATGCCACTTTCCGGAGAGTGCTACTGGAGTCCCCTCCTCTTCTTCCCCTCAGCAGGTTCCCACACAAAGGATCTGTGTCCTCCACCTCACCATGCTTACTCAAGAGTGGATGCTGCATATGAGTGCAGGCATGACCATGTGTGGCACTGCTGCGTGTTCCCATGATTCTAAACCCCTTAGTGGTGGGAAGGTGTCCCAACATGGAGTCCTGATTAAGGCAGGCCTGTGAGAAGGAGCGAGGGGTTCCTATATGACAGCCTCATGGGGCTGTGTGCTTCGCACTGGAGCTCAATATGCACCCACGTGCACAGGCTGTTGTGCAAGAAGGCTGAGAGAGGAGCATGCAGCCTCTCACAGCCCACCGCCTCTTTCATGTGTCTAGGGAAAGTTATTGAACTCACCTCATCTGAGCCCTGGGAGACATCCTGGGAGGAGAGGGATGGGCTCCAGGGAGATGACCACTTCCTGGCTGGTGGGCATGGTGTCAGTGCTGGACTGCTCCTCCTCAACTTCATCCTTGTAATCCTCCCTCCACAGCCCTGTCTTCGTGGAGGCTGAACTGACATGGGGTTGGGGGTGGAGGGGAGGGAAGGAAAGGAAAGCAACTGACCCCCTTCCTGAGATGGCATCCAGCTGCATATAAAAATGGCAGGTCTCAGGTGCTGCCACAAAGTGGGAACTTTCCTCCCTGGCCCTGCTGTAGGACTGCCTCAGTTCTTTTATTTTCATTTGCACCTGGTCCTGGATTCGAGTGTGCCCCTTTTGGACCAGGCAGGTAGCCATCCGGATATAGACATCCATATTTGTGCACCTGGTGTGGAGATCCTAGAGGTTAGACTCCTCTCCCCAGACCGCGATGAGATCCAGGACCTCCGCACCAGTCCAGGCCAGAGCCCTCTTTCATCCCTGGCCAGGGGCTTCCGAACTAGCTGTAGCTGTGCTTGCAGCCATGGGGGGGTCTAAGAGGGAATGCTGAGGTCTGCCATGGAAACAGTAAAGGCAGTACAGGATGCTGCTGTGTGGCATGGGGGTAGCAGGTGCCACAAGCCCTTTCCCTTCTGCCTATAGATTTAAACCCTGCAGAAGAAGGGAAACGATAGAATTTTCAGGGGTGTGGCCAGAGTGCCCACTAGGGCAGCTGTGAGATGCCCGGAAGGCCAATTATTTTGAAATAACTACAGCTGTGTCTCCACACTAACTCTATTTTGAAATAGCAATTTCAAAATAGGTGTTATTCTTAATGGATTCAAAGGTTATTTTGAAATAACAAGCCCATTATTTTGAAATAACTTCAAAATAATAGGCTTGTGTGCACACTCACCTTGTTATTTCAAAATTACAGGAGTTATTTTGAAATAACTCTGTAGTGTAGACTAGGGACGTTAGCAAGTAGTCGAGTACCCAATAAGCACAAGCTTACCAGGCAGTCAACTGGAATATCAACTACTCACTTCCCCCCTCCCTTGCTGCTACTATGAGAGGCAGCAAGTGGGGGGAAAACAGGAGCTGGTGCTGGCAGGAGCCATCTTAAAAGCTGGTTCCTCCAGCACTGGCTCTGCTGTGCTGCCTGCCCCCTCCCTGCCTCCATTGCTTCTATCAGAGGCAGCGGGGAAGAATAAGGGAGGCTGTTGCCAGCCCTGGCACCACAAACGGGGGCTGGTGGACTCAGCAGAAGCCGGGACTGAGCAGTCCCAGCTCGTGCTGGCCCAGCAGCTCTTACTATATTTAAAATGCAGAGCTATAGCACAGGTGGCTGCCAGAGCCAGCACAAACGGGGACTGCTCAGTACCAGCTCAAACTGGCTCCTAGAGCTACCCCCACTGTGGCTCAGCAGAATGGTCCTTATCGACTAATTGTATAAACAATACAAATTGTATCAACTACACAATTAGACAGATAACCACAATTTAACATCCCTAGTGAAGACACACCTTTAGGGAACCAGAATTTTAGAACAAAGTATTAATATGTTGTGGTTTCCTCAGAGACCTTTTTCACTTGGCTTATTCAGAATACTTTGTCAGTTCCAGGAGAATACTTCATCCAATTCTCTGGAATCCAAAAAACTGAGTTCATCTACAGTTTTCACCACTCTAATATCTTTATTTGGCATGCTGCACAGCTACACTGAGTAGATTAGAAACAATAGCATACCACTCCTCTGAAGTTACAAAGAAAATTTCTTTGCTTGTACCCATTTACACATTGTGTTTACTATACTCTGCACCACATGTGTGCAGCATACCTTATCCATGCATTTGCCACATTAGATCTAATCTCCAAATTCACCTTGTGCAGGGAATTATTTCCTTTTAAGCCGGCTTCCCCCCAGCACCAGCTCCTACCCACCCTTGTTGCCTCTGATTAGTCTTACTGATTAATCATCTATTCAACAACTTGTTGACATCCCTAATTCTAACTAGGAACGTTAACAGTTAACTGGTAAGCCTCACTCTTATAATTAACCTCTGGGGGTTATATCTGCTCCCTGCCCACGGAATATCTGTGGTGGGGGACGCTGCAGCTCTCTGCTCACCCCCATTTAAATAGTTAACTAAACACGATTTTGAATCCCTAATTCTAAAACAAAATTCCCATTTTTCATCAGTTGCTTTAAGTCACCTGTCCTCAAGTTTTCTTCTGTCTTCCATTGGGAGACTTTATTAATAAAAGGAGATGGTAACACCTACAGAAAGGTATTTTTTCTATCTCAGGATTAAAATAACCACACGTTGAACTGCTATAGTATTACAGAAAACAAGATTACTTGGACTCTGGATTCCCATAAAATCTACATATTTCATCTTTTAGTAATAAATATAGCAGCCACATAATTTTCAGGGCCAATAATACTGCAAAAGCACACATTCACCATACTAGAGAGTAATGTAATAGTCATATATGCTCTAGTAATTAAGAGACTGAGAAATATGCTAGTCTATTTCAGCAATATATGAAATCAGAATTGTTTCAGCCTGATAACAGACTTGAGGGGAAAGATTGAACTAGACTCAATTTGCCATCCAGAGTGACCTTGGGCACTTCAGATGTAACTAATTCTGTTAACTCCTATGCATATCTAACTTTGTGCACATGGAAATTCACAATAAACGCTGGTCTACACACAAAGTTACTACGCAAAGTGTTTGAAGGATTAAGGCCTTAATCTCTCTGCTTCAATTTCTCATTTGTAAAAGGGAAGCATTAATTAATTTACATGAAGTATTCATATATCACCATGAAACACCCAGTTAAAAAAAAATAGTGTCCTTATCACTCATTTTTCATTAATTTGTTTTCAGAGATTTTTATCAACAGAAAATAAGACATATTTAAATGAATGAAAACATGAACTTAGTCTTTTATAAAAAGATAAATAAAACAACTCATTATGCTGCTACAAAATGTCTAAAAACCGGGAGTGAAATTACTCAGTAAAACTCAGAGCAAAACTACTTCAATGGACACCAGTTCTTTTTCAAAAATACTTCAATGGATATGAGTTTTTAAAAAACCATATGCAAAGATCATTTAATAACTCAAAACTAATGAACGTAGATACTGAGATTTATTGTTCTCTCAGAAGGGTAAAAAATGCAATGGCAACATAAAAATATACATGGATTTAAAGTAATATGTTTTAAATGTATGATTTATAGGAACATTTATAAGAACATTAATATTATTTCCTATATCAGTAATCCAAGTTTTAAACCTGAACTACCTGATAGAAATTGCCTCTAATTTCTCCAACAAACACTTCTTTAAAATTAATTTTAAGTAGAATAGCCACAATATACTTACATTTAATAAAATTCCTAATAAATGAATCAAAAAAGTGCACATACCTCTTTTAAAAGCTCATCTTGTTTATCCTACAAGAAAAGCACAAAAAAGTTAAAGATTGACTACTAAATTTTTATAATATATCTATTTCTTTTACAATATATAGCTTGTGACAAAGCTAACAATTTCTGTGCTGCTTCATATAACATACACCTCCCTCCCTTTGGTTCAGCTAATTCAGTTCAAGTCTACATCCACACTACTTTAATAATTATTTAGGCCTAGATCCTCTATATTCCATGCAGGAAGACTTCTGTATCCAAGAAAAATAATGTTAGCTTCAGTGAGGCTGTTTAGGAACATAGGGATCACCCACACTGAATAACTTGCAGGACTGAAGGGGTGGGTTTCACTGGTTTCATACAAGCATATATTGTGAATCAGATTCAGAATTATATATTCTTATCCTGAATGCCAAAATGAAGGAAGATTATATGGGAGAAGTATTCTATGCCAGTCAGAAAGCAGTGGCAACAATTGAAATGAAGTACCAAGAACATTTTCAATTATGTTTTTAACTATGCAAGACATTTTAACATTGAACTATGCAAGACAATTCCCAAACTAGTTGTAGAATAGGAATATGAAAGTTTAATTGTGTAAATGGATAACTGATAAGGCTGGGCTTATCAATTAATGTTCACAGTTACACTCAAGCTCCTGTCCCACTCCTGGGGAGCTGGCTGCCACTGTATCAGAGGCAGCAGCCAGCTGTCAGGCAGCAGGCGGGACCCAGCTTAAAAGCCAGCTCCTGGTACACATGGGCTCCAGGGGAACTGGCTCGTTTACACGATCAACCAATGAACCTGGGCTCATCAGTTGATCTTAATGGTTACATATATACACACACACCCTTGCTGCCTCTGTATCAGAAGCGGGGGAGGGGGCAAGTGGTATCCAGTGTCCGTTGGAGGCAGCAGCACATACCAGTGGCTCCCCGCACACACCAGCTCCTGTGGAGCCACTTCCCTTCCCACACAGGCAGCAGTGCAGTGAGGGGAGGGGCTTGCATAAGCTGCGACTCGTGGGGAGCTAGCTTAAAAGCTGGTCCCCCTGAGCAATAGCTCCTGTGGAGCCACCAACCCCACTGCAGCCTCTGATAGCACTGCGAGGAGGGGGCAGACGGGATCCGGTAACTGTGGAGAGAGAGGGCTTTTACCCATCTATTGTCCATACTCGACCTAATGCCCTCATTCCCAATGCGGGTAACCATGTAACCGCCAGGTTTTTTCAGCGGATACACATTTACCTGGAGCAGCTCTCATCTGCGGTAGGTTTAGCTCAGGCATGCTGTGGTCAGGAGCGCTCCAGCCCAACTGGAGGAGCGCTGGTCCGTAGCAAGTGGCAGGTGTTCCTGCCCGCCCATGGTGTGCGGTGGTGCTCCAACAACGCCCCATTTAACTGGGTAAACAATTAAACTTAATGTTTAACAACTTAAGTTATTAAATGGGATTTTACATCCCCATTGACTACCCCCTGCATCAATGGGCAGCAGTCGATCCAGTGGTGATTGATTTATCACATCTAGTATAGGCACAATAAAGTGTCCACCTATTGCTACCTAAAATTTTAAAATAGATAAACCTATGTTATCTTCATGGAACAGTGCATGCTGTATCTGGATGTAGAATCCTTTTAAAATGGTTATATAAAAACTTTTCCTGCGGGATGACTGAGTGCTGCTATCCCTTCCCCCTCACCCACCTGGCCTCTTCTCTTAGTCCTGCCTCCCCATTGCTAACCCCATTAACTCAAAGGGTGAATGCCAAGGCAAAAAAGACACTATGGCTGAAGTGACTGAGTAGCTAAACCCGGAGGGTAAGTCTCCTCTCATTCCTTGCCCATCCCAGAGGCCTCCCAGGCTACTGCAGCTGCTTACTCTAGAGAAGAGGAGCTCACCACCTTGCCCCAGGAAGCCAGTCCTGCAGTGCCCTGGGGTAGCTCTGATGACATGTGGTGGGGCACTGCCTGGGCGAAGCTCTCCAACTGGAGGGGTGTGTGTCTAACCCAGTGTACAGAGCTGCCAGCTCCATGCTGCCTCAGTCACTAAACCCCAGGAGCCTGCAGGGGCCAGCACTCAGCCCCTTCACAGGGCAGATCACGAGAGCCAAGTGGAGCCCACAGGAGATTAGCTAGTCCCCAGCACAGCACTGCCAACTCCACACTGCCTCAGCCACCAAACCTCAGCAGCCAGCAGGGGCCAGCACTTAGCACCTCCTCAGGGCGGATGGCAAGATCAAGTGGAGCCTGCAGGAGACCAGCTGGTTCTCAGCACAGCACTGCTAGCTCCACACTGTCTCAGCCACGAAACCCCAGCAGCATGCAGGGGCCAGCAGCCAGTCCCTCTGCAGGGCATATCACAAGAGACAAGCAGGGCCTACAAGACACCAGTTGGTTCCCAGTGCAATGGGACATTGCACCATGCCAAAGTGCCCCCAGCCCTACACTGCAGCAGCTGCCGCACATGATGCAAGTGGGAAGGGCAGAGCTGCCCAGGTGGTTGCAGAACTCTTAGAGCACTCCCCCCATGCTCAGAGATGCTGCCAGACACAACGCTTTCTAGATGTTGGTAGGTCATGAATAGGAACTGCAAAGAAGAGAGTCTGTCTTACCTGGAGAGCAAGGAAAGGGTTAAGCTAATTTGGAGATGCACCTGAGGGAGGGGGATTTGGGCATTCAGCCAATGAAATGCAGATAAGGAATTTCAAATGAGAGAGAGTTTTTCCCCCCTTTGTTTGGTGCAAGCGGCAGTTTTTCCCCAGGTAGCAGGAAAGATGGATTCTCCCAGGAACAGGCTCCTTGAAATGTGTAAGTAGGGAAATGGTTAGATAGTCCATCAGGTTTTTTTACTGTTTTCCTTGTCTGGGGGTTTGAAAATCGTGTCTAAAGTGGTTATTGTTTTTCTCTGTTCTTTTGTAACTAAGGATTACAGTCCAGTGATTCTATTTCATTCCATGGCTTTTAACAGACAGTCATTTGCCATGCTTGCAACAGTAGTTGTATTTTAATAATAGAAGTGTAAGGGTTTTTTTTTGTTTAGGTTAACTGGTATTAGTTGATTTTGTGTCCTTACACCTACGTAAGGTTTAAGGAAGTGAAACCATATTACCCAAGGAAAGCAGAGCTCTATTGTTCTCTGTGGATTATCCCAGTTTGTTTTCCCAACTCCAAGCAAAACGGGGGAGAACTTTGCCTCAGGGAAGAGATTCCAAGTGGTCTTGTCCCTGTAAGAAGGTTTATTTATTTTTATTTCTCTTTTTATTTGAATTGACACTTGATGGTGATGGCAGCTATTTTTTTTTCTTACAACTCAGGGAAACTGAGACCGGACAAGTTTGTCTCTGGGAGTCACAGAGGGTATGTCTACACTACCACCCTAGTTTGAACTAGGGTGGTAATGTAGGCAACCGGAGTTGCAAATGAAGCCCGGGATTTGAATTTCCCGGGCTTCATTTGCATCTTGCCGGGTGCCGCCATTTTTAAATGTCCACTAGTGCGGACTCCATGCCGCGCGGCTACACGCGGCACGGACTAGGTAGTTCGGACTAGGCTTCCTAGTCCGAACTACCGTTACCCCTCGTTTCCGAACTACCTAGTCCATGCCGCGTGTAGCCGGCACGGACATTTAAAAATGGCGGCGCCCGGCAAGATGCAAATGAAGCCCGGGAAATTCAAATCCCGGGCTTCATTTGCAACTCCGGTTGCCTACATTACCACCCTAGTTCGAACTAGGGTGGTAGTGTAGACATACCCAAAGATAGGTTCTTACAGAGTTTATTCTGCTATCCGATCCCCAGATCTACACTCTAAGTGCCAGATTGGGGAATTGAGCTGTGACATGGTGAGAGACAGTGGTGGACGGGTCGGGGGAAGATGATTCCCAAGGCACTGCAGAAACTCGGCCATGTGGCAGTACTTCACATGAGTTCCGCAAGGGTCCCAGCAAGTACTGGGTATTCAGAGCCAACCGGACTAGGAGCTACTGCCTTTCTCTCTAAAGCTCTCCTAGGACAAAACAGGCCAGCATCTGCTTTAATGGTTTAGTTTCCTCACTTCCCTGCATTTACGGTGCCACAATAGTTCCTCTTAAAACAGTGGTTTTCAAACTTTTTGGACCATGGACCACCTGGATCGATGCAAACCTTTCTGTGGACTGCTAGTTAATGGAAACTGTTAATTACATAATTACACCTGAGCCATTTTGCTAGTAATGGATCTAGGGAGATTCGTTTAATTTAAGCACTTTAACTTTCTCATGTTATCTTATCAAACTTCATTTAAAATAAAATAAAGTATTAATGTATGTCCAACCCAAAAGGTTTCAATGTTTTCTTTATTTATGGCAGGCATGGGGGAACCTTTTTTGTGGCAGGGGCCACTGAACCACAGAAAAATCAGTTGGGGACCACACAGATGAGAAACAAAACAAAACAAAACAAAAAATCCCCCAAAAACCCACTCCGTCAAAAAAAACAACCCTCACTGATGTAGCTCCCAACTGAGATATCTTGCTCCTCTGGCGCTCTAGTTCTATGAGGTATGGGGAAGGAAAGGGACAGGAAGGACTGAGTTTCAGGGCCTCCCATAAAGCCATATTTACTTTTCTGAGTTAGATTTTATGGACCCTCCTTAGGCTCTGCGGTAGGGACAAAAATGAGGGGTTCAGTGTGCAGAAAGGACTGCCAGTGAGTGGGATAGGAACAGGATGCAGGATATGTGAGGTGCAAAGTGGGTGAGGGTGCAAGTTCTGGGTGGGAGGTAGGGCGCAGAAGCAGGCTGGGAATAGGGTGTCTGGCCGGGGGGAAAGTGTAGGAGAAAGGGTGATTGCAAGAGCAGGGTGGGGGTAGGGTGTCTAGCCAGGAGAGAGGATGCAGAATCTGGCCAGGTTAAAGCTGGGGGGCAGACTGGTTGAGAGGGTTCAGGGAGATGGGGGCAGGGTGCCCCCAAGAATAGGGCTGGGGTCAAGGTGGCTGGGGGGGGGGGGGGGGGGGTGTGTGTGTGTGTGTGTGTGTGTGTGTGTGTGTCCTGT